CACAGCGGTAAAAAGGCACCTGTGACTTTTCAGGAAACCGTTGCTTTTTTTCCCCTAAAAAATATAGAGACACTGTCTGTATCTAAAACGCACCTGGCTGAACTCAGCCTTCCCCCTTAAACCCTCTCCCTGAGAGTCGCAGCCCTGAAGGGCTGGGGACACCCTGGCACGGGCTCAGCCCCACAGGACGCGGGGCCAGGGCTGGTGCAAGGCCAGAGGGGAGACGGGGTATGGGGAGGGTCACACTAAGGCTTGTATTGGGGTGCCCCCCGGCAGTCACAGCCTTTGGTGGAACTGCAAAGGGCTGGGGGCCAGGGGACCCCCTCATGAGGGACATGGGGCTCCCATTAATGCGGCAGTGCTGGGAGCTGGGGGGGCATCCAGACGCCCCCCTACCCCTGCTGGGAATAACCTGAGGCTGAGGGGGGGATTTAGGAGCCCCTCTCGGCTCAGCCCTTGCAGGACTGTGGGGGGTTGTAGAGACGCAGCGTCCCAAGGCACATGGGGGGCATCTAGAGCCAGGGGCTCAGCCCCGAGGCCAAGCTCTGCCCCAGAGCTTGTCCCTGCAGGTGGGGGCACTGGAAGGCACAAGGAAGGGGCACAGGCGTCCCCTCCCCGGGTGATCAGCTGCACCAAGGGCAGAGCTAGGGGTGTGGAAATGGCCCCCCTGCTCCAAGACTAACGGGACCCCCCTTTCTTTAGGGGAGGGGGTGGCCCCTGTGGACACCGCTTAGCGGGCCGGCCCTGCCAGGGGCTCTGCCCCCAAAGGCAGTGGAAAGCAGCAGTGGCTGAACCCCCCCTCCCCGTCGGGGCGCGGAGGAGGGAAGGACCTGAGAACCGTTTAGGGAGAGGGGCCGGGAGCAGGGGAGGAGGACGGGAACCTCCCCAGCAGCTCCCCCGCTCAGCAAGGCCACGAGTCACCCCTGGGCCCCCCTCCTGGGGGAGGGCAGTGGAGGGGGCACCCAAGCAGAGGGACACCCAGTTCCCATGGCAGGGGCTGCTGCCCCGTCGGCTCCCAGCACCAGCGGGCAGGGACAGGGCCAGGACACCCAGCGGCTCCAGGGACGAGAGCGGGGCCATCTCGGGCTCTCCCCCCCGTAAGGCGCTTGGTTGTCACCGCGGTGCCCCCCAGCATAGGAAAAACCGTCAGTGCCCATCGGGCTGGAGTCTGGCGCTGCGTCCGGGCAGCACCGGCCCGGCGCCGAGCCCCAAGGGCGCAGCGGCGCCCGGGGGCACTAGCTGTTAGTCCGGTGTTTCTTGAGCACTGTGTAAACGTCTTCCACTTTGCTGAGTCTCTCGAAGAAGGGCAGCAGGTCCAGCAGCTCCGTGTCTGCCATGTTATCGAACCACGAGGCCACGGGCACCTGCGGGCACGCGCAGGGCTCCGCTGAGCAGGCGCCCGGGCCGGCCCCAGCCCCCGAGCTCTGCCCCACAGCTCAGTGCCCGTTGCCCTCCTCCACCTGCCAGCGGGGGGCATGGGGACGTGGATACCGGTGGCAGCTGTGGGACGGACCCCCCAGTGCAGAGCGCCTGGAGACCCCTGTGCTGCCAGGACGTGGTCACCCCATACGCCTCTCGGGACGCACTGGCCCTCGCTGACCTGATAGCTCTGCCCTCCATTGCCCCGGTCCCAGCCCGTGGCTCCCATGGCCGCCGGTGCCGCCCCAGTCCGCCCCGCGTCCCGCACGGCCACGTACCGCGTTGTCGGGGTGGAAGATGTAGGAAGCGGGTGAGTTGTCCACAATGATGATTCGGCGCAGGTCGCGGCCCAGGCGGCTCAGGTCCTTCACATAATTGCCCCGGTGGAAGACGCAGGATTCCCGGAAGAGCCGGGCTCGGAAAGCCCCCCATTTATCCAGCAGGTCGGCCACGGGGTCAGCGTACTGGGGGTGGAGAGGGGGTCAGTGGGGCACAGAGCCCTCCCTAGCCCTGAGCCACCGCTGCCCTCCGAGCAGCATGGTGGGGGCTATGGGGCCTAGGTTTTGTCCCCAGCTCTCTGCCGATGCCAGCTTGCCTAGGTGAGCAAAGGCATCCGGGCCGGGTCTGTAGGGACTAGGGGGGCAGTGGTGCCCAGCAGTGCCCAAGGGGGTGGGAAAGTGGGGCGCTCACCTTGGCCAGGCTGGCGGTGAAGAGCACGCACTCGAAGAGCTCGCCCATGCGCTGCAGGAACTCGTCCACGTGTGGCCGCTTCAGCACGTACACCTGGGGCACAAGGGGCAG